AGGTGGGGGGCAGAGTTGCAAAGCTTTACTGAGGCAGCACTTGGGAATCCCCATGGCCTGTGTGTAGCATGAAAGCTATCCCAAAGAGAGGCACAGGTGCTGATAGAGGTGCCTGAAGGAGACATGGGGTCAGAATAAAGGCACCATGTTGGGAAGGACCTTTAGACCCAAAAGCAAAGAGCAATTTCATGGACACTAGCAGAAAGTGCTTATTTGTCATGGCCCAACTTGCCTACCTTCAACATGCCACTGAGTCAACGAGTCCAGTAACAGAATCAGATAGTTTCCATGACTTGGGGGGTGGGAACGAAATGGGGAATTACTAATGAAAGGCCATAAAGTTTCAAGCTGATGAATAAGTTCTAGAGATCTGATGTACAACATTGTACCTCTGGTCACCAATAATATATTGTACAGTTAAAAATTTATTGAGAGTGTAGATCTCATGTCAAGTGGGTTTTTTTTTTGACAATTATGACAATTTTATGACAATAAAATAAAATTGAAAAAAAAAAAAAGAACTTGGCCAGACCCTTGTACATGGATTTTGTATCATGTGACTTTACTGAATTCACTTCAGTTCTAGTACTTTTTTGGTGGAGTCTTTAGTGTTTTCTATATATAGTATCATGTCATCTGCTAATACTGGGAGTTTTAGTTCTTCCTTACCAATTTGGTAATTTTTATTTATTTGTGTTGTCTGATTGCTGTGGCTAGGACTTCCAGTACTGTGTTGAATAACAGTGGTAAGAGTGGACATCCTTGTCTTGTTCCTGACCTAGGAATGATGGTTTGATGTTAGCTGTGGATTTTTCATGTAAAGCCTTTATTATGTTGAGGTATGTTCTCTCTAAACGTATATTGTTGAGGGTTTTTATCATGAATGTATGTTGTACTTTGTTGGATGCTTTTTCTGCATCTATTGAAATGATCATAGGGTTTTTACCCTTTCTCTTATTGATGTGATGTATCATGTTAACTGTTCTGCAAATATTGAACCATCCATGCATCCTGGGAATAAATACCACTTGATTGTGGTGTATGATTTTTTTCTAATGTATGATTGGATTCTGTTTGCTAATGTTTTGTTGAGGATTTTTACATCTATATTCATCAAAGATATTGGCCTATAGTTCTCTCTCTCTCTTCTTCTTCTTTTTTTTTTTTTTGTGATACCTTTATCTGGTGTTACTTATCAAGATAATGCTGGCCTCATAGTATCATTTGGAAGTTTTCCTTCCTCTTCCATTTTTTGGAATATTTTGAGAAGAATAGGTATGAGCTCTTCTTTTTTTAAAATTTTTTCAATGTTTATTCATTTTTCAGAGGGGAGGGGCCAGGGCACAAGCAGGGGAGGGGCAGAGAGATAGGGAGACACAGAATCCGAAGCAGACCCCAGGCTCTGAGCTGTCAGCACATAGCCCCATGAGGGGCTCGAACTCATGAATCGTGAGATCATGACCTGAGGCAAAGTTGGATATCCAACCAACTGAGCCACCCAGCTGCCCCGGTATGAACTCTTCTTTAAATATTTGGTAGAATTCATCTGTAAAGCAATATGGTCCTGGACTTTTGTTTGTTGTGAGTTTTTTGATTACTGATTCAGTTTCATTGCTGGTAATCTGTTTGCTCAAGTTTTCTATTTCTCCCTGCTTTAGTTTTGGTAGGTTATGTTTCTAGGAATTTATCCATTTTTTCTAAGTTTTCCAATTTGTTGGCAGACCCTTTCTTAAAAAGATTAAAGAGGATGCAAAGGGTACTGTGGGACTTAGAAGATGAGGAGGGAACTCTACTGCCACAAGGTCCCATAAACCACACCTTTCCCTTGTACACAGATGCAGTTTGATAAAGGAGAATAAACAGGGCAAAAATTTGATAAAACACTGACCTAAGTACACAAGGCAGCGGTTGTATTACTTAGAGATATTTCTTAAATGATTGCCCCATATTAGCATTAAATTACTGCACTGAACTAAAATTTAGTGTCCCCTAGCCCCCCCCTTCCCACCCACCCTCACCCCTGCCCAACTACCCATTAGTCAGGGGCTCTTGAGAAAGAACAGATGAGTTAGAAATAAGCAGCTATTTGTTCCTTGCACATCTGAATGTGATGTGTGTAATGTTTGGCCCAAGTGCCCATGTTTTTTTCCTCACTGGCATTTTCTATAGAAGCTCCCAAACTCAACTAAACACAAAATACAATATTTTAGACTGCTCTTATAGCTAATCTGAGAAATTATTTTATCACGGGGACCTACAAGATATGTTAATGAAAAACACCTAGAAATAGATACATGATACATTTCTAGAGGACAGAAAACTGTATTTAGGATTTCCTAAGTGCCCCATTAAACACGCACTTACACACACCATATATACGTGAGTGTGCTATCTATTGAAGTGCTTAGTGCATAGTAGGCTTTTACTCACTATTTGATAAAATGTATTGGTGATTACACATTCATCTACAATGGATACAGATGATTATTTTCAAGAGTTTCTTGACCCTTCCTTGGCAATGTAGGCATGTGTAGTTTGTGGTTCTCTTCTCTGAGCTTTTGAGATTGACTTAGATTTTCTAGTTCCAGTTGGAAGTTTTCAGGGATAATGATCAAAAACAAGATTCTGACATTTTGGTCTTATGCCAGGAGAGTGTGAATCAATAGACCTTGGGCAGAAATATCTAGGTTTTATTCTTCTGGAACATTTCCTTCTGCCCAGTCTTCCAGAAGAAAGACGGAAGAATGGTTTAAATGAATGTTTGAAGTCTGCCTCAATCTCTGCTTGCGATAACTATCTCAAATTCATGCAGCCCTAGGTGATAATTTACAGACCTTCTTCCTTCCATAGAGTGAAATGGTTAGACCTGGCAAATGTTACCCAATCTAAACCTCACTAAAAATTTCTAAACTATATAAATTATTTACCAGCACTCAAGGACTATAAAGAAAGTGAAGGAATAAAAGAGATACAGAATTCTAGAGCCAAAGGCAGTGGAGCTTACAGTAATAAAACTTACAAAGACTCCGTCATGTTAGGAAATGCACCAAATACTATTAGTATTCATAGACTGGGCAGTAATCAGGTTTTCAAAGATATAGTTTCATCATCTAAAACTAAGTGCCAAGTTCTATGTTTCCTAGATTGCATCTTCTAGCAAACAGAAGAGTCTGGTGGAATATAGTATTCACAGGGTCTTCTCAGGCTTGGAAAAATTCTGGGGGTCAGGGGCTGCAAAGGGAGAAGAATGTACAGAAGGCAAAGAATGTACTAAACCATTTTTAACAAGACAGAAACAGAGTATTAAACATTCAGGACCAAGAAAAGGAGGAAGCAACCAGTTCTCTAGGAATATCTTTATATCATCTCCATGTGTTCTTTTTTAAAATGTGTTTTTCCCCCTAATTATGAATGCCTGAGAATGAAAAGATATAGTGGATTCGGTTTCAGGACACTATGGAATGGGAAAAAAAATTGATTAATTTGAGTCCTACACCATGGAATATGAGGGTTGAGGAAAAACCAAAGGAGGGGAGTTGGCAGCAGTTAATCGCATGCCTGGTGCCTTGATCCCTGGGCATAGGAGCAAGAGCAATGAAGTCCATGTGGTTTCCACAAAAGTCTTGGCTCCAAGCAATAAAAGGACCCACAAGTACACTACTAAAGCTGAAATTTTAGTGTGCCAGTTGAAAAATTATGATCTCTAAATTCCTTCCAGTTAACTATGTTACTATATGAAACGTGTCTTCTTACCTAATAACGTGTAATCCAACTATTCTTCAGCCAAGTGAGTTTTCCCACTATATGTTAAGCTACCTTAAGTCATTCCTGCATTTTCAGAGATTAACAAATGCTAGAGGCATTGTGAATTAAAAAAAATATGTGTTTGAATGCTATATGTGTACCCTTCATCCTATTTTCTAATTTATGATAAAAACTGCCCCAATACATGAAGATTGGTTGGATGGATTCCAACCCATGTTTAGCTGTTAAATAACAGTTGTCTGTTAAACATTCAGAACTGTTCGAGTTAGGTACTTTCTAAGCTTTAATTGGAATAAACCAAATTACACAGTGGGATCAATGAGTGAATAGCAATTTCATTTTGCATGATGATCCATTGTAAACAAGTAAGAAAAAGAATCCTCTAACTGGTAGTGTTTCATGGTTCAAGTAAGGAGAGATGGGAAATTAAGCCCATGATAATATAGGGTCTCTGGGTCAAAAAGCCTCTTGCCCTGTAGGTGAAGCAGTCCTAAGAGGGACTCCCACTGAGAGGAAACAGTGTGTCTTTTTATGAATATCTGAACCACCAAGTTCCTATTAGCCTCTCTTCTGGCTACAAGGAAAATACCCTTTTGCCACAGCTCAGTGACTGTACTGTGATAATTTTGCCAAAGCCTAACAGGGCAGAGCCCTGCAAATACCGGGATATTTCCTTTCAGCCCTCCAACAAGCCACAACTGGTTCCTATTATTAATAATTTCACTAAGGTTTATCTTCACTAAAAAGCACCTAGCCTTCTACAGTTAAGGAAAAACAAGGCTGCAGACTCCTGCTCTGAATTGTTTCCTGAGCTTCTTCATTATTTACTGAGATTCCTGAAATGCAAACAATCAGAGTCTTATCAGGCAAAGGCAGATCCCCTGAGCCTTTTATCATTCTGTCTGCAATTTTGAATTTCCTCTATAACCAGACAGCATACCAAATGAAGCTAGACTCTTTAAAGGGAAATGAGGCAATTGGAATGTCAATTTTATTTAGTAATATATTGTAAAAACTTAAACAGCATATCCAGCTGATTGACAAAATCCATCCAACTGTTAAGGGCAAAACAAAACTATCTCAAGAGGTACAGTTATGCAGATCTTGCTTTTACCTATAGGCAGATATTTAAAGAGGAGAGAGAGAGACAGAAAATATTGAAGCCAAATGCAACACATGGAATTGTCCAACTGACAAAATTCAGAAAGAGAATAAGGGAGTTAGAAGCAAGGATATCATGTCGTGCTTTCTTTCTTCTTCTTCAGTGAGCCTTTTAACTTCTTCCATAGGCTGTCTTTTCTCTTCAGTTTCTTTTCCATCAAGGATGGCATGGACTCTTTCTTGCGGATTTCCCTCACTAGACCGTGAAAGGCGTCATCAATGCAGAATCTGAGGGCTGCAGAAGTCTCAAAAAAAGCACAGTTATATTCCCTGGCCAGACTCAAGCCTTCTTCTGTAGATACCTAAGGAAAAAATAAATAATATTAAAAAGAAGAAGGGAGGAATGCTTGGATCAAAAACTTTCTAAACCTGAAGAACAAATGAGAAATCAGAATCTGTAAAAGGGAAATTGATTAGAACTTACTAAAAATCAATTCTCCAGATTTCAGTAAAAGGTACCAAAGCACCATGGCCCAAACCATGGCTTTCAAATAAAACTGCTGGGTTTCCAAGTTTCATCTCTCCTGCATTTGAGTTTTGCAAATTTGGATAAATTTCTTTTACCTTTTGGTCTCAGTTTTCTCATTTGTAATGTAGGATAATCACATCTACCTCAAGGCTTTTTGTTAGTGACATTCTCTATAAAAGGTGCATCATATATGCTGAGTACATATTTAAAACTCTGTAACCACTGTTATAGTCGAGAGGTTTCAGTTAAGAATAAGCCAATCTGACGTTGCTGTGAACTTTAAAAACAATCTTCTGGCAAAAGAAAACAAAAGCAAAACATCACTTATTATAAGTCTCTGGCCAACCCCTCAGAGCATGGTTAGAGCTTTACAAATTCTGTGGTACTAATCCATGCTGTGGTGCATGTTATTGCAGTGGGTCCTCTAGAGATTATAAACTGAGTGAGATCAAGAACTATGCCTTATCATCTCTTTAATGTCTCAGACACAGCACCTAAATCACCATTAGAGAGATTAGAGAAGAAAGGATGATTAATAAAAATACCTGGATTTAATAACTGTGAATTAAGATTCAAACATAAGTGATGGACAAATATTTAAACAGGGGATTATAGGGGTGTCTGGGTGGCTCAGTTGGTTGAGCGTCCAACTTCAGCTCAGGTCATGATCTCACAGCTCGTGAGTTCGAGCCCCAATCGGGCTCTGTGCTGACAGCTCAGAGCCTGGAGCCTGCTTCTGCGTCTCCCTCTCTCTCTGCCCCTAACCCACTTGCATTCTGTATCTCTCAAAAATAAATAAACATTAAAAAAAATAAATTTAAACAGGGGATTATAGGTCACTGTAACTGTGTGCTAATAATTCTTGCCAAATGTTAGCACTCCCATGAAGCTCTACCAGATTATTCACATTGGCTTGAAGAAAGCAGGAATAAGGCTGCCTTGACTCAATATGTTTTGATGACCTCTATGCCCATACTGATCTATTTATTTATTATTTTATTTACTTTTTGAGAGAGAAAGAAAGAGAACGTGATTCGGGGAGGGGCAGACAGAGGGAGAGAGACAGAATGTGAAGCAGGCTCCAGGCTGTGAGCCGTCAGCACAGAGCCTGACACGGGCCTTGAACTCACGAGCCATGAGATCATGACCTGAGCCAAAGTCGGATGCTCAACTGACTGAGCCACTTAGGTGCCCCTTTATTGATCTATTTGTTAAAGTTACTCACATGTCTATATATTTATATGTTCATGTTTCCTGCCAAATGGAAGTATATGGTGAACTAGAGACTCCATCAGCCTGGACACCTGAGGAACTATGACAAGGATAAGGGGAAATAGTGCTCTTGGTTCACCAGGGTGGATATATTCACCAGACCTAACTAAGGAACTTTGTTCTTTTAAGCTAATGCCATTTTGGAGTTGTTTGTAACCAGAGCATAAGCCACTTTTTCCTAACTGATATACCATGTCATATTGCTAATGAATGGTTGAGTTGGTATATAAAAACAGGTCTGATTTCAAAGCCAGGTCCTTTCTGGTCTGTGAAATATCAACCTCACCAAGGGCTTTCATTCCTGCTGGCCAACACCCCAATCCTTTTTCGAGCTCATTTCTATCTTCTAGTAACTCAAGAAACACAGCTAAAGCCAACCAACTAAAGTTATTAAGATTCTGTCTTACCAGCAATTAGACAAAGTCATATATTAACTTGTCTGATTTCCAAGGAATCACAGGTGACAGTCTTACCAAATGTTTTGACACTGCATAGATGCCATTTATTTTTCAGAGTCCTTTAATCGTTTTCCTAACTCAGAAGTTAATGGACACATATTTTATGTGTTTTCTATAGCAACACCACATTATGGTATGATTTTCTAAAATTAATCAGCTTTCATTAGGCTATATATATATACAAAAACAGCCTCTCAAAATCTCTGTAGCTTGCAAAAGTGTTTCTTGCTCTCACTGCTTATTAGCAGCTGGAGGGTAGACTGTGACAGTCAGCTCCAGGCTGTGGTTTGGGATCTGGTTTGTCTCTCTTGTCTTCTTGTTCTAAAACTCAGGCCCAAGGAGCACATCTTATCTGGGATATGCTGTTTCCATGACAGAGCAGTGGGCAATTACCTACATCCCAGAGGTCAAAAGACAAATGGAGAAACCTGAAGTCAATGAAGCAGGATGTATATTCAGCTCACAAAGAATTGTAAAGAAATAGAATCTACCAAAACCATTTATATGTAAATGCATCGCCCTATCTAATTTTAAAAAAAAGTTGGTCTGACAATCTTTTTTTTAACACTTGCAGTTGAAACACTTCGAATGTAAAGATATACAGTGAAATTTGAATGGAAATTAATACAAAAAGATTTTATATTGATATAATATCAGACAAAATAGATAAAAGTTATTACTTAAAAAGATGAATCTATCATGATGATATTTTACATTTGTTTGTACTAAAAGTCACAGCCTCATTTTTTAAGTGCACAGAACTAAAAATTTTAACTGTTCTCCCTCAGCAATTGAAAGAATATGTAGATAAGTAAGGATGTAGAAAGTTTGAACAAAACACCACACTTTATATAATTTACATGTAAGCTGCTCTACCCAACAACTGAAAACTTCATTTTCTTCAAATGAACCTGAAGCATTTATAGATATTGACTACATGCTAAGCTAAACAGTCTCAAAACACTGCAAAGAATCAAAGTCATTGTATATTCCTGAACAAATGGAATAAGCTATAAATTAAGTTTTAAAAGAAGAAATCCCCAAATACTTTTGTAAAATAGAATTCTAAATAGTCACTGAGTCAAAAAAGATATTACATGAAAATCACATCACTACTTGTGGGATATCTAATGCTGTGTTCAGAATGATGTTTATAGCACTACATCCATGTTTTAGAAAAGTGGAAACGCTCAAATTTCATGATCAAAAGCAACCTCAACAAGTTACTATAAAAATCAGGAAATTAAACTGAAAGGAAGCCAGGGGAAGGAATGATAAAGACAGAAACCAATGAAGTAGTCTTTTCCACTGCATGATTATTTTCTAAGTCCAAAGGCGTTAAATTGATAGACCCCAGGCAAGACAGCTTAAAGGTGGAAAAAGGGTACAAGTAAATAGTATTAAAAATGACAAAGGAGAGGGGCACCTGGTGGCTCCTTTGGTTAAGAGTCCAACTCATGATCTCATGTTTTGGGAGTTCGAGCCTTATGTAGGGCTCTGTGCTGACGGTGTGGAGCCTGCTTGGGTTTTTTTGCTCCCTGCCATTGCCCCACTCACACGCACACTCTCCCTCTTAAACTTAAAAAAAAAAAAAAAAAAAAGAATGACAAGGTGGACATCACTACAGATCCTGCAATCTTAAAGAAAGTAATTAGGGAATGTTATATTTGTGTCAAGAAATCTGACAAGTTAGATGGACAAATTCCTAAAACAAAATTTACCAGAACTTACACAAGAAGAAACAGAAAATCTCTATTATCCTCTATACCTTATGTAAGGAATTAAATATGTAATTAAGACCTTTCCACAATTAAGTCTGTGTGACCAGAAACCTTCTTCAGTGACTATGTATGGATATACTTACCAAACAACTTCTATAAAAATGTACATATCAGCATTATCACAAATAACAAAAAAAACTAAAAGCAACACAAGTGTTATAAGTGAATTTGATAATTTGTTGTGCATTAATAGAATGGAATACTGTTCAATGCACATGAATGAAATTGCTATATAAAACTTCTATGAATCTTACACAATAGTGTTTAGTGACAGAAATCAAATCTATGAAACGTTTTTGAGAAATGTGACAAAGTACAGATAGTTTCCATATACCCCACATCCAATTTCTCCTCTTGTTACATTAATATGGTACACAATTATACTTTTAGAAAATTGAAACACAAGAAAACTATTCTTTAGTGTTAGGAGATAATATGTAGTTCCTTTGGTGGTTTAAGGTGAGTTCACTTTGTGATAATTTACAAAGTGTATACTTATAATTTGTGTACGTTTTCTGTATGGTACATTAGTGAAAAACTCAAACAAATGTACTATATAATAAGTCCCCCTCTGAATTTGGGGCATCACCACTTCCTCAAGTACAGTAATATTTCTATAGCTAAATATTTAACATTCACAGTAAACAGGATATATTGAAGACTCAGATCACATCAGATCCTGGTTAGTCACAAAATGAATTAGGTCTGGTCAGATTTTGCAAACTACATTAAAACCTGTTTATTTTAGTTTCTGAAGTCAGATAACATTATGGACTTACGTTTCCAGTGGGAAGGTTCAATATCACAAAGATTATAAATCATCTCAAAGTAATGTGTAATTTCAATAAAAAATACATTCTAAGTTTCAAAAGATTTCAGGATTTGAATGTTACACAGAGATAGTAAAATTCATAGGAAAGAATAAAGGTAAAAATAGGAAAGAAAATACTTGAATTCTAGTAAGGAGGCAGAGAGAAGAACAATAACAATGTTGGATTCATCCTACTACAGACAGATATCTGTAAATCTGTAGCAGTTCAGGTAGTGGGTTATTAGTTAAGGGCTAGACAGACCAATACAATGTGATGGAGAGTCTAGAAACAAGATTATAAAATATACAGGAGCTTGATATAGCATTGGGTAGCATTCCAAATCAGTGGGGGAAGTGAAGATTCATTCAATGATACCCTCCCATTGAGTTATCATCATTTTGGATTATTTTTTATGTATGGATATTATTTCTTCTAGCAAAGATAATTTTTCTTTGGAAAGAGTAGAAGAGGGTTAAAGTCTTTAAATCTGTATATTTTTTTCTTACACAT